AGCAAGTTAGTGAGAGCTGATTTAGTAGTAGCTTAAGAGACAGAAGCCAGGTTGAAGTGAAATGAAAGGGAATGAATGGATAAAGACGTAAAGAGTGGGTATATGTTAAGAAGGGGAAGAGAGAAACAGCAATTACAGGGGCAATTCTGAGTCAAGCCAGAGATTTGAGCTCACTGATCTACTGAGAAGACAGCAGAAGAAAGGAGATATTGAAGAAAAAAAGAGATGCTCGATGGAGCCAGGTCCTGTACTAGGAGACAAGAGGAGATGTGTTCAAGGGCACAGGACCAAGGGTTTGCCTCGAACAGGAGAAGGGCTATTGGAGTAAAGGCGGCAATGTGTGTGGATGTAAATAAATGTGTAGGTCCAAGGTAGTAAGTTGAGGGGGGTCATTAAGTTGATGAATCCATTTTCCTTGACAAAGTAGGAGGAGACCATATTGTCGAAGGACTTGGGGCGAGGGAGGGCATTGAATAGATGACATGAGTAGAAGAGAGTAGTTTGAAATAAATGGTTGGGGAATGGGAAAGGCAGTTGAGAAAGGACAGGAAAGTAGGTTGATGAGCACCCTGATGAAGGAGATTATGCATTTTAGTGATGCCAATTTGGACAGTATGATTTTTCTCAGCAGCACTCATTTACTTGAATGTTGCAGTGGAAAAGGTGGATTCAAGCATTGATTAAGAGCTAGGATTCCATTTTTTCAGGTGTTGCAGAAAGAGAGAGGAGCACAAGAGAATTCGGGACACATATTAGTGAGAGAGTGGTCCTAGAGTTCAGATCTGTGTTTTCCTGGGAGGTGAAAGAAGATATGAACAAAGAAAAGTGGAACACCAGGGTGTGATGTTCCGAGATTGGCAGGTGCTGTGACAGAAGGGAAGGCAGTATAGCCTGGTGGGAAAGATCCCAGGCCCTGGAAGTGGACCGTCCTGTGTTCAGATCCTAGGTCAGCCACTTGCTAGCCATGGACAGTCCAAGCTCTTTGTTTCTGTATCAATAAGGTAGGGCTGATAAGAATATATACACACCTATATCTTAGGATACTAGAGATTTAATGAGAGAAAATACAAAGAGTGTGGGAGATGGTAAGCAATGAATTTAAGCTATTATTATATTATTTGAGGAATAGTAGATTCTGAACAGGCTGTTGGCTGCCAGAGATTTTTTTTCCAGAGGCAATGTAATGCCAGGGCATCACCATAGGTGTATTTAACTGAAGGCCATTGTAGTGAAGGTAGGCAAAACCCTAAAAACCCTGGCATACCATAGTAATAGGCCAGGATTTCAGAGGTCACTTTGGGAATTTCTTTGGTGTGCGGAGAGGCTGTTCATCTACAGAAGAGCACAGGGGGAGGCTTGGTCGATTGTACCTGCTAAGAGAGCTCCCAGAGCACTGACAAAAAACCCCCAGAGAACCCTGGTTGTGTTCATGATACTCTTTGCTCGTGTTTTAAACATGCCTTTGATGGGGCTCAGAACGCACTGCCCCAAACTATGGCACTTGGCAGATAGAATATCTTAAGCCGAAGGAGTTTGACAAAATGGCAGAAGCAGCCAGGTCACTGACCTCCTCCCCTTGTCCTTGCCTGGAACAGGGCAGAAAACCCACATGTGAGGGAAAGGAACACTCCTGTTTCCCAAGACAAAGGGACTCCCAGGACTCCCAAGAAGAATCCAAACAAGCAGGCCTTGCTGAGTGCCCCCCACTTTATTACAACCACCTCACACTCCTTCACCTCTTGTATTCCTCCAGGACTGCACGCATCATCAAATGCAGGGGAAAAATGCACAGGTCTTCCGCTTCTTTGGGGCTTCCTGTCTTCCTGAAAGCTCCCAGGTCACCTAAAACTTTTATTTTTAAACAAATGTGTAGCAAATTCTGCAGCTAATTTGTCTTTGTCAGATTACTTTTCAGATCTAGCCAGGGACCAAAACCTTTTTTGGTGGAGGAAAACCTTTTTTCCTTCCCTACACTTCCAGTTCATTAGCCATATCACTTAAATTCCTTGCGTATTCCCCTTGAAACTGGGGTTCCTTGCTTCTCTTCATGAGGTTATTTTGGAGATCAAATAAAATAATGCATGTTAAATAACTTAGTGTTTTGCTAGGTGTAGAATACTATGAGTATAATAAATACAATTACATACCATATTTTGGGGAAAAACCACCACCGAGTCTACCACAAGGCCAGTTTGGATAAGTACATTTTGGGGTTGTTTTTTTTTAAGCTTGCCTTTTCTACTGTATTTTTTTTAAGGCTTTACATTTTGCCAACACTTGACATACAAGGAATTTGAAAAACATAAGGAAAGGACAATTTAATATATTCATCACTTGGCCCTTGAGATTAATAGTAACCTCAGCATCTCTTTGGAAACAAAGAAAGAAATTAATTAAGGAATTTCAAAAACACCATTGGGAGGCTTTGCATTAACGTTTCTGTGGCAGAAAACCACAATTTGTAAATGTAAACGTATCTCTGGTGATTTTCTCGAACTACCATACTTACACTTGAAGGGTGGGTTAGCCTCCAAGCAGTGCCAGTGTAATCCTGCTTAAAATGTTGAGGAAGGCGGTCTAGGGTTCAAACGTGTGGTTATAAAGTAAACTAGTCCTTGGGAAGTCATACGCAGCATGGCGGCCCCAGTGAATAATAATGTGAAAGCTGCAAAGAGAAGTCTTTAAAAAATATTAGGCAAGTTTTTAACTTTAAAAGGGAATGCTGCTGAAGTCCTGTCTTAAATGTGCTATTAGGGATCTGGTACATTGAGTATCTTTGTAATTTTTTTCACAGCAAAGGAACATTTCATACATGAGTTCTCCAGAGAAAACATGCACTTTCCTTAGCATGTATTATTTTTAAGCTACTCCCTTAGGCTACTATAACTTAAACACTGTGAATCATCTAAATAGGGTAAGACTTAGAAAGTAGGTTTTAAAAGCCGCAAATTTAAAATTCATGAATACCTAAAACCATATTTGTCTTCTCTAATTCAAGAGTATTTATGGCTTTCTTCTTTCCTCCCCTCTTTTCCTCCCCCCACCCTTGGAGGTATGTAGGGGAGAGTCTCCTTATTAGAAAAATTCCTATTTTAATGTTCTGTGTAAGGCAGGTGGGGAGCTCTTCCCCATCACGATGAATGGCTGGCACTTCGAGAAGTACATTAAGTGTATTACCATGTCCTTGGATCTGATATCTCCCCTGTGAGCCTCAGTTTTGTTTTTATCTCTAGAATAAAAAAGATACATGCATAGATTTGTTCTTATAAGACTGGACCAGAAAGATCAAAGGTGCGAGGGAGAGCGTGTAGTATGGTAGACAATAAGAGAATGGGCTCTGAAGCCAGAGACCTGGATTCCCTAGTGACCTATTTGGGTTTGGAAGGGAAAATTGTTAGCAAGTGAGTACCCTAGATTAAGGTAAAATCCAATTTAAAAATAGTAGAATCACCAAAAGTTAGGGCTGTTCAGCAATACTTAAAATGATTTATTATTAAGTTGAGTGACATTTCCTATGACATTTCCTAATGGAGCTTATTTTCATCAACATATAGGACTATTTGATCAAACTTGTTTACAAAGAAAAAAAATGTCTTCTACTGAATGGCTTTTGAAGGTTGAGGCATTAATTCCTAACCGAAAAATGTCACTCCACCTAGTGACAGCTCCATAAATTACAGTTACTAGGCTTAAATAGAATTTCCAAGGGTATTGTCATTCAATTCTAGGCTAAACCTTTTGAGGTACTTATGTGCAAAAGTAGTATTTCTCCCCTGTATAAATAAAATCCAGCTCCAATCACTGTATAGTTTACCTCTTGATATAATATTTAGTAAATTTCTAATTAACAGCCTGATTCATAGTGCTAAAAATTGCTTAAACTTCTTATTCATTCTCAGGTACTATCCAGGTAAACAAAAGATTTTCTAACTCAAAGAAATGTTGAGACAAAATTTTCCTCATATATATATATATAATGTTCAAGATTGAAAGCCATTCTTGAAACCTTTTTTTCTGGAAATCTTTCCTCCCCGTACGTTCTACAAGTATAATTGGAGGTGCTTTAACTATGCAATTGCTTGTGTGCTAGGAGGATTTTTGACCATAAGAACCAGAAAGTTGGTGTCGTAGCTCCAACTCTGTCACTTGACAATTCTGTCATCAGTGACAACTCTTCGTGGCCTAATTGATTCCCTCACAGGGGTATAATTCAACATTTGGTCTATGCCAGCACTCCTCTTCTGGCTAGTTCATGCAGAACCACCTATAAACAAGGTCTGAATTCTTTCTCTTTGGTATCAGGAAACTTCCATGAAGTCACAGATGTGAGTTGAGGGAAAGGTAAACAGTCTAGTGTGAATGAGGCCTCTCAGTCCAAGCTCATGCAATTGGTTTATCCAATCTGAGTCCAAATTTGTGCACCACTTCCGCTTCACCATGGCTTGCTGCTGTGCATGCCTGACCATCAGTGGGGAGGGAAATGACCCCAGGGAGCAAAACTGAGAGCAGCATTTCTGGTTGTTCAGTTTGCACAAATGTATGGCTGGAAGTGTTGGCTAAAGGATCAGAGACTTGAAAACTAAAGACAAGCAATCTGGGAATGAGATGCTTTAGGAAAGAAGTATGTGAATGGACATCTCAGCGTAGGCCCCAAGTGCAAGGATATTTGTGTTCTTTAAGCTCATCAAAATCCTCTTCTATAGAGAAGGCTCTAGGTGGACAGCACAGCCAATAGTGTGGCTATTAATTAGCCTCTTTCACAACCCATCCCAGTCCTTGCTCAGTTGTTCTACATTCTTGGAAAATTCCCTCAGCTTCTTTCTGATGTTCAGTCTTCAGGAGTGTCCATTCTGTTATTCAACCCATCAAGTAAGCGTAAGTAATCCCTACTTTCAATTTCTAAGATCTTTGCTATAGTGTAACCAAATGCAGGTCCAGCTGTCTGCTGCTATGAACGCCACACTTGTGAGACAGGTGCTAATGTAAAGGAAAGTGGTTTATTCAGATGCCAGCCATTTGGAACATGGTGGGGACTCATGTCTCAATACCTATGTCCACATCTCAGTGGAGTCAGAGGTTTTAGTCAAGAGGTAGAGGGGAAGCAGAACAAAGGGATCAAGGAAGGGCGTTGAAAAGTTCTCTACGTGCAGGTGAGTACAGTTCATTCTGATAAGGCAAATGGTGGTCCAGTGTGCATCATCCTGGCTCCACGTCATTCTGGCTCCACAGCTGAAGGTCAGCAAATCGCCTGGAGCTTGGATGCCTGAAGGTCAGAGGCTGTATCTTTTGAAGTTAGTTCCTAGGATCCTTATACAAACATGCCATTTATCTACAGGCTACTTATTAGAGTCAGCACTTACAGAAACAATGCCAAAAGAATGATGGGGTGGGTTACAATTCCCCACTGTTATAATAGCAATCTGCTCTTGTTTTAATAGACCCAATTCCTTCACCAGTCTCTTAGAGAATATTACTTATAAAGTTTGTTTTGCTTATTTTATTTTCTAGGGGTTCATTATTGTTTGTTGGATTTGGTGCTTCTCTGGTGGTGTTAAACACTCCTCAAATGTTTAATGCTTGGGTGCCTGTTTTTTTTTCATTCATGCATTTGTTTCTCTGTCTGTGAATCTAAGCTCTAATTGGGGTGCCTTTCCTCAGCAAGAGGAAGGTGTGCTAAGTTCTCTAGAGTCCTGCCCGGTCAGCGTTCTTTCTAAAGGTGTCTGAGCTCTTGTCTTTAGCCTAAGGTCAGCGCCACAATCAGCTGTTCCCTTATTTTTAAATTCTGATGCTCTTATGCTATGACCTTATTTTTAAGTTCTACTCTGTTTCTCTCTCCAAATCTTATACTTCTACTCTTACTACTAAGCCTCAACTCCAGAAAAAGGGGTAGGGCTCAGCTGTTTCCAGTTCATTCTTTATATGGCTCGTCTGTGACCTTTTACTCTCTGTATTGGTCCTAAATTAAAATATCTCTGGAACTGTTCTAACATCTTTAGTAGCTTGCTCCTGTACTGATCTGAGACAAAGGTTTTCTTGTCCTTGTTTCTCTAAAAATTTAATCCAATTAGTTTTCCATCTTTTAAAAATTTCTCCACATTTGTTCATTAATAGTACACTTTTTGTTTCCTACAGTCACTTAAGGATTTACTTTTCTAATAAAATACATTAATTGTTTCATGCACACAATGAAGGATAGATTCTACTATAATAAATGCGTACGTGCCTACTACCCAGCTTGAGAAATAACGCGTCACAAGTAGTGATAGGGGAACTCAAGAGTTAAATATTTTAGCCTTAGTTTGACAGGCTTAAGTTGATAATGCATGTGGAAAGCTGTTATTCCAGAAACCGGAATGCAACCTTTGCCCCAGGGGGTCTGGAGAAGGTCTGTGAGCCATAGTGTTCCAGGGAGGGAACTCTGCGATACAGATAACGAACTGTTGATCAGTAGATAGAGAAGTACTAGGAAAATCACTGCCAGACTGCAACTCTTACCCAATTAACTTTTTTTCCAAACCCCTTACCTACCCTTTCTTCTTCTTATAACAAGGTCAGCTTGAATCGCGTTATTAGGATGGTCTTTAAGGGTACAGAACCCACCATCTTCTCAGATTGCCAGCCATCTGAATAAAGCACCCATAAAGATTGTCCTTGTCCCTATTTAGTGACAGGCAGCACAAACACTGACTTTTCTGATTCCAGTAGCACTTAAGTGTTTGTTCCCTATGCATTCCTCCCTGATCCCATTTACCTCCCTTCTCCACTGGAAATGTTTAAAGGGATTTAAGACTGGCAAAGAAGTAGATGAACGTAATCAGTTTGCTATGTCAAGCCAATCACCACTGAATTAAAAATTTCAAAACCAAGACAGAAAAGTGTTTGAGAGCACAATTCTACCTTAATTACTAATTGCTGTTAAATCCTAATCCTCTACTCTTTTAAGGTGTATATAATACATGGTCAACACTGGGACATGTTACTGCCATGCATGCATATTACAATAAAAGTTATAAACTCTAATGTGGCAAAATTCTCTCTCCCCTACTAAATCTCAAACTAGAGTCAGCAATATTTTTCCATAATAATAGATTTTTAATGCATCATCTCAGACAATGTTATTATCAGAACTAATGTTAAATGTTCTCTTTGAAGTCAACTTATTATAGTATTAAAACAGTATCTCTAGCAAGGAAGCTTCAAAATTAGGTAGGTGTTGAAATGCATGGGGGTTTTGATGCTAGAAATAAAGGAATAGGGCCTATTGCTCATTAATCTAAGAAATAAATTTTGCCCCAGCCGGGTGGGTCAGTTGATTAGAGTGTCAGCCCATACACCAAAGGTTGAGAGTTCAATTCCCAGTCAAGACACATACCTAGGTTGCAGGTTTAATCCCCAGTTGGGGCACAAGTGGTAGGCAACCAATTGGTATTTATTTCTCTCTCACATCAATGTTTCTATCTCCTCTTCCTTCCCCTCTCTCGCTAAAATCAATGGAAATATCCTTGAATGAAGGTTTTTTTCAATGAATTTTTATGTACTCAAAAATGAATCCTATGAAACCTACACCGTAACAGAAATTACACTGCACTATAGGTAAGGATGTGAACACATATGCATCAGTCTCAGTAGAACATAACAGAAGACTTCAGGTGAGGGCATGTTTTGGGAATGCAGCTTTGAGGAATGCCCCAGTTCCTCACAGGAAAAACACCTGGTTGGCAATGATAATATTCTGCCTAAGATGAGATCTAGCAAGTCAAGGAAAGCCCTGTAAATGGGGGCTTCTCTTCTTACCTCAAAGCACATCACCTTGAAATTCTAGCACTGTTACAATGTATGATTGCAAAGCCTTCTTCTCTGCTACCAGCATCTTTTTGCTACACTGTCCACAAAGTATATTAACTGGGCATCAGACAAACACACTCCATTTGCAACTCTGTAATGATAACCAACCTAGGTTTAGGAAGGAGCCTCCTGGCCCTAACCCAATGTATCTAATATATAATTGTATACTCGGCTCTTTCACTCTTCCCAACATCTGTCTCTTCATAACTTACCTTTGGGAAATTTCCTTCTTTTACCCCAGGCGGTCTTAATAAGACTGTCAAAGTCCCTGAAGCCATGGGATAGACACATGATCCCAACTTGGGAAAAAAGATTGGTAGGAATATGATCATTGAGCCCAAGGCCAAACAGAAAATACAGAAACAGATATTTTGATGGCAGATATTTTGATACAGACTGTCCCCTAGTTTCGATAACCTAGATGTCTAAGTTTATCTGGTTTTTATTCTTAAGGCTGTTGGTCTAGCTTTTTCTTGTCTGTCACCATTTTTAAAATATTTATTTTTAGAGAGAGGAGAAGGGAGGGAAGAATAGAGGGAAAGAAACATTGATACAAGACAGAAACATTGTTCAGTTGTCTCTTGCACAACTTGAACTGGGGACTTGTCTGGCAACACAGGCATGTGCCCTCACCGGGAATCAAACTGGCCACCTTTCAGTTTGCAGGACTACACCCAATCCACTGAGCCCTATCAGTCAGGGTAGTCCAGCTTTTCTTAGATTTTATGAGCTATTCTCTGTCCTGCTGATAAATGTTGTTTTGCTTAGGATATCCCTAATGAGTTTTTATTGTTTGCAATCAGAGAAGCCCACCTGACCCATTCATTAATGTTACTGTAAACCATTTCCTTAAATTGGAAAGCTAGAGCTTGTAACACCTTACAGTAATATGCTTACTGTAGATTATATAAGCGTTTTTAAAACTAAACACTGACATTTGTATAAAGTTTTTGAACAACCCAAGTTAACTTCAAATTTATTTTCATCCCCAAAAATGGTGCAGTATTTTAATGAGTGAAATAATACATTTCTGCCAGCACAGTAGTGAACAAAAGCACTTCAGTAAATCAGCTTTAGTCTCAACCCTTTCAAACTTACTCTAAGTTAAAAATAAACATTAAACCCACATATGATTAGTCTTTCCAACTTCAGTATGTACAAATAAAAATGACAAATTTAAAATAAAATACTTGGTTCTAAAAGAGGGAGAAATCATATCAGACTGAAAACACCTTGGCCAATTCCTAGTCATAGTCACACAAAACTACCTTCAAAGGAAAACTGACCAGTGAGACAGTAAAGGTTCTGCTTTCAGCTATGAAGAATTAAACTTAAAATGCATTCACTCTTTCATCTTCTCGTGTAAGATAACCTAGTCTCAGAAACAACATAAGCCTTGTTACAGTAGCCTAGCTCCTAAATGAAAATATGGGCTGAGTTACAGTTCACTTAATAACCTACCTTAGAAACCTTTGAAAATTAGCCACAGATCAAGGTATTTACATAAGTTCAAATCTTTATCTTAAGATAAAAGGGAGCACAGGCCCTTAACCTCCTTTAAAAAGAACATTTAAATTAAACCTTTGTTGCAACCAGTCAAAACTTTCATTCAGAAATGTTTCTTAAATATCAAACTTCTCTTCACAGACGCTATGTCCATTTTCTTCATAATCTTCTCTTGTTACCACCATATCTTCAAAATCGTCATTCTCTGATATCAATTTTCCACCTTCCCAGGCATAAGTAATAGGGCTAAAAATAAAGGTAAAATAAATGAATCCAGATGACCTTATAGAACTAAAAAGACAAAAAACATTAATTAATAACTAAAATATAGCAAGCTCTACCTCACAGAAAATCATTTGAAGTGTGGAAGTAAGGATGAACTTCATCGGACTAAAGTGAACTCAGAAAGAAAAGAACCTTGGTCAACACTACAAGTAAGTGTTCATTTGATTTTTTCCCCCATGCCCAGAATTCTAATAAAAAACAAGAATATAAGCAAAAGATCAAAAACACATAAAACAAAAAAGTCATAACTGAGTCTAACTTTTCTGTATGTGGCAAAGATACGTCATCTCATTAATTCACACAGCAATCCATGAAATAGCTAACATAATTCCCATTTTCTAGATTTAAAAAGTGAGGTTCTGAGAGATTAAGTCTGGAACTAGGAATGAACCTGGAGTTGTTTTCATACAGCCTGCACTTTTGCTGCTGTACTTTGTTGCCTCTAATAAATGAGACATTTAGGAAACACAGGGCATGATAAACAGTTACATGGTAGGACACTAGAGCATGTTAAACATTCAGTTGGCTCTATTTACAAGCAAAGTTGTCCTTTGTGTTATAACTTAATTCTATTTCTACTGTTCCTCTATCCTCAATTCAGTTTCAAATCGAAAAAATGAGAAAGAAAAAAGTTAAATATTTTCCTTGCTATGTTTATTGCATTCCCTGACCTTGGGAAACACATACACACATATATATCTCATGTACACATATATGTGTGAGTGTGTGTGTATATATATTCCTATATGTATATGAGGTCTATCCTGAATGTAATGTGAAAAATAGAGACATTTATTGAAGAAGATACAAGATACAAGAAACATTGTTTATAGTACAATGACACCTTAGTCCCCTTCAAACTACGCATCTTGGGACCTCCCACAGTTCTCCCAATTGTTATCAGCTGCCCCATTGTATTTTCCTGAATCTCATCAAAAGTCTGAAATCTCCTCCCTCTCAAAGGTGATTTTAGTTTTGGGAAAAGCCAGAAGTCGCAGGGTGCCAAACATGGGCTATAGTGGGCTGAGTCACCTGGGTGATTTGATGTTTCACCAAAAAACTCGGCATGAGATGTGATGCCTGCATGAGTGCGTTGTCCTGATGAAGCTGCCAATCACCAGTTGCCCATAGCTGCGGCCTTCTGAATCATCCCAATAGTTGCCGCAGAGGAATGTTCAAGCTTAACGCAAAATTTGATGTATATTGCCCTACTCACTCAGTCATTTTGAATGTGACAACCACACAGCACACATGCTCACTCAACAGGTCTACTGCCCCCGCTGACTAGTACAGTGAGGTCATCATTGTTCACACATGCGCATTCCAGTCCACTCCCCTTGGCTGCCAGGTTACACTGATGTCACACAAACTGTTCTCATTATATTAACAATGGCTGGACTTTTTCCAGGTAGACTATATATATATACACGTGTGTGTGCGCATGTGCGTGTGTGTATGCAGTAGATGTGCAATAAAGATTTGATCAATAAAGAAAAAAACCCTTTCTGTGCATCCCTTGGCTTATAATGTGTGCATAACTTATATTTAAAATGCAGGATAAAAATTTAATATGCTTTATACTCTACTAGAGTGTATGAACATTAATGCTGGTAAAAAACATTTTAATATTTAATGGTTGTTTATTCTTTTATCTGTTAGCTATAAAACTAAGTGATCAGTTGAGGGCCTTCTGTTAACTGCTATAGATTTTGAAAAATTTTACTTTAGCTTTAAAATGGAACTCTAAAGTTAAGTTCCATTTTAACTTTAGGCAGGATTGTGGGGTCTTATTTGCAACTCTGCTACTTAAGGCTCAGGAGAAGGTGGTTATTTAGAACTCCTGCCTCAAGGTAAGAACTGGATTTTGGTGTGGTCACTGCTATTAACTCATGTAAAGCCTTTGCCAACTCGCGAGCCCTTGTTTATTTACAAAGTAAAAACGTTGAACAGGATGATGTATTAGCCTTTCTTAGAGCTCTAAAACTTTACCTTTTTTTTTTTTTTTAAACCACCAAAGTGGAAATGGTATCTGCTTTTTCTCATAAAACATGATGGGGGGACAGAAAAGTGTTTTGGGTTTTTTTGGTCAAAACAGACTCTCTTGGGGTGCCACACCTACCCTCCCCTGCAGTGCCTGGAGCCCTCCTGGGGTGGCGGCTGCAGAGGTGACACCCCAGTATAGAATGCAGCCTGAACAGGAAAGCGGCCGGGCTCAAGGTGACCAGTTTTGCTGCTATTGTACCCAGCCATGCGACCAGGCCATATAAAACGGTTTTGAACTTAAGAAAAACTAGTTATATGTAAAAGTTAATTTAAAATATTTTAAATTATCTGAAAACATTCCAAAACAACTTATGAATTCACATAACTTATCTTCATGGGTCAATTCTTAAATTTCTCTGCTTGATAGACACTCTCAAGAAATGAGTCCTGGCTGGTGTGGCTCAGTAGATGGAGCGCCAGCCTGCAAACCAAAGGGTCGCCAGTTCAATTCCCAGTCAGGGTGTATGCCTGGGTTGCGGCCCAGGCCCCCAGTAGGGGGCGTGTGAGAGGCAGCCACACATTGATGCTTCTCTCCCTCTCTTTCTATCTCCTTTCCCCTCTCTCTGCAAATAAATAAAATCTTTTTAAAAAAATGAAAATCTGTTAAAAAAAATGACACACTTCAGATAACTCAAATACATAATAACCTATTTGTTTTGCCTGTAAAAAATCTCTTAGAAATGAGGACTTAGTATAGGGAAGTGATCTCCTATTAACCAAGTGCCCATTATGTACCAGACATTATGGTGGGCACTTTGTGTACTTCTTCCCATTGAACCCATTGAAATGGAAAATTTTTCACTTCAATTTTTGGAAAATTAAAGTGAGGATCCCAAAGGTGAAATAACCTACCAACATGGTAGATCCAGGTTTTAAACTTGCCTGCCTATAGACAGACCACTTTATCTACAAAATGATTTCCATATTTTGTTTCTATTATGTATAAGCCAACACCTACTTTTCAGGCAGCACAACAGAAACATCATAGTCTGTTGGAGTGAGACATCGAACTTCTGAGTAAACCCGATCCCTGAATCCTGGGAAAAGGGAATTTCCTCCTGTCAAAACAATGTTCTTAAAAAAATGTGGCTGCATTTCTTTAAAAGAAAAAAAGGAGAAAGGGAAGAAAACAGCATTAGAAATTCTGTTTACTTATCTTTCTGGAATGACAATGATGAAGACTTAGGTTAAAACAATTAAGGATTATAGTTACTGGTTGGGAAACCATATAATTTCTTTATTATCACATAAATTATACTTTTTAAGATTTTATAATGAAATTATAGTTTACACAAATAAACATATAAACAGAAATATGACCTTAGAGATATTTATAAGAAATGCTAGACTAAAGGGTTGAACTATGGGCTACTTACTATATAACGCAGGTGAGCTATACATAAATCAGTAACATTTTAGTAGCAGGTGTTTGGTAATTACAATTATTCTTCCCCAAAATGGAAGGGGTCTTTGTGTAGGAGACTGTGAAATAGATAAGGATGAAAAGGAGTTCCCTCATGACATTTTACCTTGGAAATCCAAATTTCCATGTTATCTCACTGAGACAGATATTTATGTGAGTACTGTGCAATACTTATATTTGATAGTGAAAAATACTCATAATCTAAAGTAATATTTAAAGAAAGGATCATATCCTTCACACTCATTTAAGTTACATGATGGCAAGCTTTAACTGCCATATGTTCAGCCAGTATTAAAAGCCTACTAAGCACCCCTGGGAAATTTATCAGGAATTATTACAATAATAAGTACTGGCCATCCCACCTCACAAAACAAGAGATGAGTTCCCATATATTGACATTGAACCTCCTGGCATGACATTAAAAGAGTATAAACATAAAATGCTGTCTATCCCATGACTGTAACTTTATATAAAAATGAGAAATTAATATGAACATAGTTGTGAAATAATTATATTAAGGTGTTGGCAATTATGTGACTTTCTTCTTCATTGTTCTTTCTTTCTGTATAATAATGGGAGGAAAGGATATTGCATGTGCTAGGTTTTCTCCAATGCCTAGACTATTCCTTATGAACTAGGAAGACATTTCCAAGACATAAAAGTACTCTAAAACTCTAGAGCATTAAATTATGCTTCAGGAGAACCTAGACATCACTATGAAGCACCATATTTCAACCTCATTAAAATTAACTTCCTGCATATCAATCCAAATATAACAGAAAGAATAAACCAGTCCCACCAATAGCTGGAAACCATTAAATTATTAAGTTATACAGTTCTATTCCATGCAAATTTGGGTTAAATTAAAACTTTTTCTAAAATGGATATCACAATTTAGTATTCATGGAGAGATGAATTTCTTCAAGTTTAAGTGCACCATAATAACTTCTCCTACATCAGATTTATAATCTGGGACCAATAAAGAATTACTCGAGTACATTATTGGATCTGGAAATCTCTGCAAATAAAACAGACTTGTCATTTGCTAAAATTATTTAGAAGAAACAGATGACTTCTCTAGGGCTCACAGAGCTTATGGTGTTAAAAAAATGTCATTACTACTCAATAATTTAACTATGTACCTTCAGGTAAGTTCTGAATTGAATAGACAATAGCTTCTGGAATTCCCATTTCTTGAATGCCTATATCAGAAGGATTAAAAAGTATTTCTGGAACAGCAAATCTCTCATTGGTCAGACGAAGAATTTGTTCCCCAGACTTATATTTTCCACTTAACACCATCTCTTCCCTTGGCTTAAAGAGAAATAAGATAAAATGTTTAAGCTACATTATCTGGCTAACCAGACTAATATTTAGTAATATGTAATACTAATATATTAACATGTTTTTGGAAGTTTCAGGATTCTCAAATGTTAGGAAAAAAGTGGTCTTCTCTCTTGTTGCCTAAACTACATAAATATTTACTGACTCTAACATAGCTATTCCCCTAAAAATAATCTGGCTTTATTACACACATTTTAAAACAGAAAAAAAAGAACAGATGAGAAGGAACTTTATAATCTACCTATAATACTAGACTGACTCTGGTTTCTCAAGAACAAAGAACATACTCTCAATAAAAAACACTCTTACGTTTCTCCCACTATCTACTTTCACTCCCCTATGTTAGATGCTTACTGAATATTGTGGTTCCATACTATCAGTATTTTCCCTTTTCCTTGTGCAAAAAGCCTGTAACATTTATTATTTATCCAATCTCGATTAAAAAAATCTATTTTCGGCCCTGGCTGGTGTGGCTCAGTGGATTGAGCACTGGTCTGAAAACCTAAATTTCGATTCCCAGTCACGGCATATCCCTGGGTTGTGGGCCAGGTCCATGGTTGGAGGTGTGTGAGAGGCAACTAATCACTGTTTCTCTCTGTCTCTTCCTCTATCCCTACCCTCTAAAAATAAATGAAATCTTAAAAAAAAAAAGTTTCCAAATGATTTAAGCAAATATATGGACATTATCACTGAAATTCTCTTATTTTCTGTTAGCTCACCTATCTATAAGCTGTGTTCCCGAAGGGGCCAGAAAAAAAATCATCTCCCTTTACAACATTCTACATAATTAAAATAATACTCCCTCTTGCCCTGACTGGGGTGACTCAGTTGGTTGGAGCAGTCCTATGGACCAAAAGGTTGTGGGTTCAATTCCTATCAGAGCACATACCCAGGTTGCAGGTTCAATCCCCAGTCGGGGCATATACAAGAAGGCAACCAATTGGTGTCTGTCTGTCTCTCGCCTTTCCTCTCTAAAAGCAATGAAAAAATGTCCTTGCGGGGGGGGGGAACTTTTTTTAATAATGATATTCTCCTTCAATTTTACTAAGAATCATCAGGTCTTCTATATTGTTAGACATTTACTTCATTTGACTAATATATGCAATTTTCCTCTCATAACAGTAGATCCTAATCCTTTATATAGGTATGAAAATACTTAAAATATATGAAAAGAAATATCAGTAATTTATTAGTATAGAGTATTTTATATAAAGATTATACTAACCACTATACTGTACACATGAAACTAATACAAAATAATATTGAATGTAAACTATAATTAAAAAAGAAAATTAAAAAAAGAATATTATGGATTTTTTAATGTAAATAGTCACCTCCTCTCTGTTCAGATTTTAGCTTCCTCAGAGGCTTTTTCTGACCCCCAAATAAAAGGCTCTTTCCAAGATATGGAAGCAGCCCCAAGTATCCATTAATAGGTGAGTGGGTAAAGCAACTATGGGACATTTACATAGTGGAATTCTATTCGGCCATAAAAAATAAAATGTTACCCTTTGCAACTGTATGGATGGACCTGGAGAACATTATGCTAAGCGAAATAAGCCAGTCAGAGAAAGTCAAATACCATATGATTTCACTCATATGTGGAATCTAATGAATAAACTGAACTAACAAGGAAAATGGGGACAGGCTCATTGATGGAGAGCAGGACGACAGCTAGTGGGGGCGGAGGGACTGAGCAAAAAGGAAAAAGGACTCATGGACATGGACAAGAGTGTGGTGATTGCTGGGGGGAAGTAGGTATAAGAGGACTAAATGGTAACGTAAAAAAAATACAATACAGATTAAAAAGATAACTTGAAAAAAGAAAAACATTTACTATAAATTTATAATTCATTTAAAAGTGATACTCCTTGAGTTGAAAGGACATAACTCATTTTGTCAACACTCAAAATAACTCAAGACAGATCCAGACATGGAGAAATTTCAGTTGACAAAAAATTAGAGGTTATCAAGTCCATAGCCTTGATTTTATAGAAGAGAATCATGTGACTTATCCTAGATCAAATATCTAATTAGGGGAAAGAGCCAGAACTAAATATCTTCGTTGAATGTTAGCTCTAAAGCCATAAACTGTTAGTATGTAATCTGGAACTACAAACAATTTCTGGTTCTCTGAGTACAATTCCAAAAAAGATTTTCATTGTAGACACAGAAAAACAGAGGAATTTATAAGGACTTATAAGGACTGCTGGGAATTGCTATTCTAGTCAATGTAGGCCATGGTTACTGCATAGCCCTCATAGATTTCATTCTGGTTACCTTGAAAGAAATGATTGGTTCAAATTACAACAGCTCTGCAGAAAGTGGTAATATTAATTATGAAGGCTATTTCTCAATTTAGGTCAGTCAAATACACTACATTTTCGTAGGTATTCTCTTTCTGATAAGAGGTAAAACTGAAATTTCTATCAGCTGTAATCACTGATATTATAGACCTTATTGTTACTGTTACTATCATCATTACTAGAAAATCAAGTTGTAACTTTTCCCCAAGTATTTAAAAATATTCTTGAATAAACTATCAAGGTTCAAATTTTAACAATATCCTAAATGTAAAGGCTCTCAAATTTTTCTCTATATGTAGTATTGTTTTTCTAATTTTATAAATATTTATCAGCTCCCATCAAAGTTGTTACATTATCAGGAAATAATGAAATTGAGTTAATCAAATATTAAATTTAAAATAATATACTTTAGGAGTATTCCTAGCATGCACAAAATAGGACTTTCTAAATTTTATAAATTAAGATATATGCATGATTCAGCATGTACTGCGAATAATGTATAAATTTTAACACTAATTGACAAAGTAAAGATCAAACCATTATTTTTTAAATAAACATTCAATGTAACACTCCATCCAGTTGAACTGACTCTGTTCATTTAACTGATACCAAAGTACACAAGCAAAGAGAAATCTATAAAGAGTTAATAAAGCGTAGTCAACAACAAGATTCTGATTAAGAGGGCAAAGGCCAATAAGAGAGCTGCAAACAATGATGTGGCTTCTGCCTTTTTTCTCCAAAGCTAATGAGTAAAACAATGGTCAACCATAATAACCACACCTCTACTGGCTCATCATGTAAGGTGCAGGTTTGAGAAAACAAGGCTTATGATTTGTTAAGGAGGAAATTGGCATTGTTTAGCAGAGATAATGGCTAAAAAACGGACAGGCAGTCAAGTCATCTGCAGGGCAGGAGAGAAACACATTTTTAAAAAAGAGGAAGATTTCCAAAACCAGTTGGCAGTCTAAACATCTGGAAGAGAGTTTTTCTTTGTTTAAGATTAAGTTTTAAAACTCAGGCAGTAAGCATTTACAGGAATAGGAACTGAGAACATGAATATTGTCTTGTCCATAAAGCATTTTATATCACTAGAGTGGTTTAATCAGCTATAACATATAAGGATGATCAAATGTGCCTAATGAGAAAGCAGACTGATATAGCTTCATGTTTGCAGCAGTCTATAAAGATAAAGACACACCTTCCATAAGCTACGTCAGACTTGGGCTTCCAGTTTTCTCTTCCTAGTTCATGTCCTCCAGACAACCTGATCACGGCTATCCCAATTCCACTTCTGAAAGCCACGCTAGGTCCTCCCACAAGGATCTACTTCTAAGGACATTTTAGGATGATTTCCACTTTTTAAGGCACTGGGTAGCCTTTTCTGAATTTTGACTTCTATTTCCCCCTTCAATAACCTGGCCAAAAAAAATTGTTTTTGCATTTCCGGCATGCAAAGGAGTATAAATAATTATATAAAACCCATGTATCTATCAACCAGCTTAATGCAATTTTACAGATAAACTAATAGTCCCCTTTTTAATTTAATGTTATCATTCATATACATAGTTTTATACTTTATATTTATATAGTCCTAAACAAAAAATTATTATTCTGCATAGCCTGAAACTGTACATCCTTCTAAAACTGACTTTTAGACGTTTCTGAGACTTATCCATGATGATCTTGTAGTTCTACTTCATTTTCAGTATTCATTTTATAATATGAATATACCAAAATTTATTTATTCTACCATTAGTTGATTTTTTTAATGTTAACTTAGTTTTGTACATTGGCAAATATTGCAATTTTTTAATTTAAACAAATTTTTTATTTTTTAATTACAGTTTATATTCAGTATTATTTCATATTAGTTTTAGATGTACAGGATAGTGGTTAGACAATCATATACTTTACAAAGTGTTCCCCTTGATATTTCCAGTAGCCACATAGATATTTAAGCTCTTCCCAAATGTTCACTCTTCTAAACATAGTGCAATGAATGTTACCATAAATGTCTCCTTGCGTAATATGCTTACATTTCTAACCAAAGGTTTTAAACTTCCTAACAGTCTTTATCGTGCCAGTCACTAGAAGGGTTATCTTCACATTTACCCAAACACAGAACTGGTAGTTTACCTGAGCTGATCAAAGATAAGAGTAATTACTTTATTTTCACATCCAAGATAAACTGCTTCTCAAGGAAAGCACATTGGATTTTGCCCTTTTCACCTGCAGTCTGATCACAGCAGACCAAACATGAATGAAATTCAGCCCTGGATCAGCTGTGTCAGTAATATTCACATCAGGCAAATAACCAGCTTCTAACTGAATTTAAACTAATTCTTAAGTAAACAGAGAAGGGCTGACCATGATACAGGTGGCAACACTGTTTATCTCCAGATTTGTCCATATGCTATCATTTGGCTGACAGTTCATTTCCCTAAGTGACTTTAGTGAGATATTTATTAATCATTTATGCACTTGTGCCTGGAGAAATGGCCACCAGGAAGGCAGTTGTCAACAATTCTGTTAAGACTCTGCCAATCCTAGTTGGATGCTTTTCAAATCTGAGGTGGTCACTGGAAGAAATATAACCAAGGGTATTTCAAATTACCTTACAAAAGCCCTTCTTAATTGTACTAAAGTCAGGCAAAACATAGTCTATCATTACTGTATTTTCTTCTCCTTTCAACCTGGAAAACAAAATACAGACTTATGAAATATTTTAACTATATATAACATTCCTAAGAATCACCCTCCCAATTCCTAGATTATCATTATACATACTTGGCAATATCCATATCTCTATAAAAATCCTGAGACACATAGCATACATCTTCTTTCACTTGGTTAATCACATGTGTTTCATCCATAACATGTAACTGTCTAAGAAGAAATAAAAATTATAAAATTTAAAATGAAAAAATTTAAATATAACATAGGGATCATTAAAAATATTTTTTCTGGAATTAAATTTTCAGTTAACTAATTTTTTTTAAAATAGTAAATTCTTGAATGTGTAAAATATTTGTAGCTTTATGGAATACTTATTTCCATTGTCTTTTTAATCTCCACATACACAGTATCTCTCTGAAGGCAAATATAAGTCCAGTTTACAGAAGTTGGGGTAAGGTTTATTCAATGAAAGAGCAAACTTCTTCCTCCATCCATTCTGAACAGAATCTTGCCTTAACTTTTTGCACTTTCTCTTCTGTTTATAGAAGTATTGTGAGTCAGCACAGTACCTGGTACATAGCAGATGCTTAATAAATATTTGATGAGTGAATCTAAGAAAACACAGGCTTAATGTATAAAGATTTTTTAAAAACAAAAAAGATGGCCCTAGCTTGTGTGGCTCAGGGGACTGAGCACTGGCCTGCGAACCAAAGGGTCGATGGTTTGATTCTCAGTGTAGGGCACATGCCTGGGTTGCAGGCTAGGTCCTCAGTAGGATGTGCACGAGATACAACCACACAGTGATGTTTCTCTTCCCCCCCTTTCTCCCTCCATTCCCTTCTCTAAAAGTTAATAAAATAAAATCATTAAAAAAAAAGGAAGATTATTTCCTTTGAATATTTTTCTCTGCACATAGATTATATACATGTTTACATTTTGTTTGAAACTAAACATTATCTCATGAAAATTTTCTTATGTATTACATATTCCTTTTTTATTACATATTCTTTAAAAATGATTTTTTAATGCTCTAAACTATTCAATCAGAGGGATCTATTAAAATGTATTTATCAATGTTCCTAATGTTGGAAGTTTAGATCAAGGAGGAAAGATGCTTGTGTGTTTATAAACATGGACTTTGCAGCCAGAGACTAAGTTTTAATCCCAAATTAGCAACCAGGTTACTTTACCTCTTTTAGACTCTATCTCTTCAACTCCAAAAAGGTAATAACGTCACCAACTTAACATATCCATAAATTTATCATTCTAATCATATATGTAAAGTGTTTAGCACAGTCCCTGTACTCAATAAATAAGAAAACATTATTATTGCTTCTATCTTTTTGCTTTTGTTTTAACAAACATCGTCATAAACACTGGATTCCACCTTCTCCAAGATACACAACTGTACCAAGGAGAAGAAAAGTATGCTAATTAAACTATGAAAATTCTAAGGTACCAACGATGGGAATATTCACCCCAATTTCAAAGGTTAAAATGTAAAAAAAAAAGTGCAATTCAGAATCTATGAAATGAGGTATTTGTTATCTATCTCTCTGATTATTTCATTATTTATTTATACTCAAGGACACAGAATATGAAACACTCTTAGTCTCTTGGTATATTGCCGAATTTTTAGCAGAAAAGTGATTCAAGTTGTGCTTCAATCAGCAGCAAATAGGAGTGCCCATAACACAAATCTACACCATTTTCTTTATTTTCCCTTTTTTAAGATAAATTTTTATTTTTTCAAAAGATTTTACTTGTTTATTTTAGAGACAGGGGAAGGTAGGGAGAAAGACGGGGAGAGAAACGTGGATGTGTGAGAGAAACAACAATTGGTTTCCTCTCGTGTGCACCCCAACTGGGGACGATGCCTGCAACCCAGGGATGTGCCCTGACCAGGAATCAAACCCTCAGTCCTTCAGTTACCAGATGATGTCCCATCATTGGTTGATTCTTATAGGTGTCCTGACCAGGAATTGAATCCACAACCTTGGCATGTTGGGACTATGCCACCTGGCCAGGGCTACACCATTGTCTTTTGAAAAAAATTCCATTAATGTGGATTTTAAAAATGGCATCTTAATTAGCATTTTCTCTAAGAAGTGCCCAAGAGGAATAGGAGCTCTTGTTTGTTTTGTTAACTCATGTATCCTAAGCCCCTAAACAAATGCTTGATAAGTGTTTGAATTGAACCTGTAATTTCTATAGGTGTTTAACACTTTTTATGTCTGAGAATTACCCACATATATCCTTTGTATGTATCTCCCTTATGATCATCTGTCTGTGCCACTGACCATCTGTTTTCTGAGAATTATCTAACCATTTTAAACCTGGGTAGCTATCTTATGGGTTGGTATATTAAAGAAAATAACCTTGTAATATTTTTTCAGGTTTGTTTACATTAATTTTGTTTACAAGGACTTTTGATGGACATAAATAAGGTTTAAATTTTTATGTAATTAAACAGAAAAGTTGGCAAAAATCTTTTCTGTTTAAGGTCAGTATTTTCCCAGATTACAAGGGAACAAAAAAGAGGTTAGAGTGTTTTTTTAAAATATATTTTATTTTTAGACAGAGGGGAAGGGAGGGAGGAAGAGATGGAGAGAAACATCAATGTGTGATTACCTCTTGTGCGCCCTCTCCTGGGGACCTGGCCTTCAACCCAGATGTGTGCCCTGACTGGGAATCGAACCTGCAATCCTTTGGTTCACAGGCTGGTGCTCAATCCATTGAGCCACACCATCCAGGGCTAGAGTGCTTTTAATATTGTGTCTGAACTATGTTCTGGTTACTTGGGTATATTCACTTTTTGAAAATGCATTGAATTGAACACTCAAGGTTGATAAACTTTATGTATGTTTTACTTCAATAAAAGTTTATTTTTTAAAATGTTGTATGTAGGAAAATATATCCTTTATTATTTCTTCTAATGCTTTTATGTTTAACAACTCAGTTAAATAATTACTTGTTGTGGTTTTGTTTTTAAATTTAAGTCTTAAATTCATTTGAACTTTAGTGTATGAGGCTGACTAAAATTTTAATTTTTCTCCAAAGAGCCAACTCTCCCTGTCTTCTCTCAGAATAATTAATCCCCTCCTTATTGGTTTCTGATTTTTCTTTAGCATATATTGCTTTTTAGAAAAACATACAACATGTGATTCAAGATTAATCATTGCCCTGGTCGGTGGCTCAGCTGGTTGAAACATCATCCCGTATACCAGAAGGTTGCAGGTTCGATTCCCAGTCAGGGAATCAAGGGATGCATTTCAGGGACACATACCTAGGTTGTGGGTTTGATCCCAGTTGGGGACATGTGACAGGCAACCAGTTAATGTTTATCTCTCTCATCAGTGTTTCTCCTTCTCTCTCTCTCTCTCTCTCTCGCTCTCTTCGCCCCCTTCTCTCTCCCCCCGCACTACACATAACCTCTATACCCCCAACCACCACCCCTTCCTCTCTCTCTAAAATCAATAAAACATATCTTTGGGTGAGGATTTTAAAAAAAAGATTACTATTCAGCCTCACTTATCAGTTAATCATTCTAATTATTACAACTTAAAAATGATTATCTACTAGAGAAAACACTTCTTTCACTATTATTCTTTTCCATACATATTTCTGGGCATTCTTGCCAGCTTACTCTCTACAAGATGAATTTGAACAGCCTTGTTTTTTAAAATATATGGTTGTTTTTTTTTGTTCATCAAGGAGGAATGGTGAAGTGTACAGGCTCTGGATTCAAATTGCCTGGGCTTTGGTTAACATCCTCATCTGTCTTAACCTTCTCACCTTTTCCAATTTGCTGCTTTTAATCTGACTGAGGGAGAGCAACTAAACATCCAAACTTTTCAAAAATGAGCCCAATTCTGTTTGGTTCTGCAACTGATACCATAATACTGTAAATGCTAATTATGCCTGTTCCATTTTTAGAATTTATCTAAAGCAATGAAAAAAAGACTTAGTAAAACGTGGTCAATAAATGTTATAAATTTCAATAATTAAAAAGAAATGGGATAGCATTATGCTAAAGGTTATATACTATATGATTCTGCTTCTGTAACATTCTTAAAATAACAAACCTATAGAAATGGAAAGTAGGTCAGTGATTGCCAGCGGACAAGGCTCGGGTAAGGAAGCAAACATAAAGGGATAGCACAAAGCAGTTCCTAGAAGTGACGGAGAAGTTCAACTAATATTATTTAATCCAGAAACATAAATATCAGTATTTGATTAGGGCTTACAGAAATTAAAAAATAAAGATAAACACTGTTCAAATTTTATGCTGGCATGAGAGATGGAAAGGAGAGGCGGAGATTTACTTTTCCTTTTAGACCCTAATTTCCTTATACGCATTTTAAATTTGTTTTACAATGCACATGTACAACATTTATAATTTTATAATACTATTAATATATTAAATTCTGTAGAATTTGGAAATGTCTTTTTTGGTAGGCATTACCATTTTATATACTAGAAAGCTTTTCAATTTCAACATCATTAGTATTTATATATGTGAAATAGCTTTTTAAGCAATAATAATTTGGTTGCCACTTGAAGTTACAACTAAGGGTAAAGAATAGCTTTAAATTGCTCGAAAAAGTTTATTGCCACCATAAACACTAAGTATTACCTGTAAGATATGATCTCCTTTAGATGATTGGTTAGAAGTTTTCCTCCCACATTTATCCTAAAAAGAGTGCAAATTTGGGTCAGTTTATTATACATTTTTTCAGTTTTGTCCTAAGAAATAACATAAAAATCAAATGCAACTCACCGAATAATTGCTTCTTTTTTCTTTTTACTTCTACAATAAGGAACTATATGTGTAAAGGAATATCCACTATCTACAATAATACAGCATAATTCGGAAGGATTATCTCGGAAATACCTATGTGCACTGAGAGCCCCGGCTATTAAAAAAAAAAGACAATTAGAAAAATAAACATTAAAGTATAATTAATTTAAAGTAATAAAGTCAAAACCAAGGCAAAGAAAAAATTTTTCTTTTATTTATAAGAAAAGCATTAATATATTCATAATTCTGTCAAAAGTTCTTTTAGTGTTTAACTTTAAAACATCACCTTTTTGTGGTAAATATAAGAAATTTGTGATCAATTTTTAAAGATAAATATTCATTTTACAGCTTATAATAATTATTTCAACAGCAGATAATTTTACTGAGGTTTCGTTACATGCTAGGCACTATTCTAAATTCCGCAAGTGTGTGTATTTTAATCTCACAACAATCCAATTTTACAGACACTGCAGTACAGAGAAGTTAAATAATGTGTCCCAAAGTCACACAATTAGAAACTAACAGAGCCAGGGTTCAAACCTGGGCCGTGTAACTAGGGAAGAGCTTCTCAACCCTGGAAGTGCTGACATTTTGGGCCAGATAATTCCTTGTTGTTGGGGCTTTACTGGGCATTGTAAAATATTTAGCAACATCTGTGTCTTCTACCCACCAGACGCTAGTAGCACTCTCACAGTTGTGACAACCAAAATTGTTTCCCGACATTGCCAAAAATCCCGAGGACCAAAACTCACCCTTGGCTGAGAACACTGTTCTAGAGAGTCCGCTCTTAACCATTATAGTATATTTTTGCTTTACATAGACTTAAATTCTGAGAGCTAAATATTGGAATATGTTCATTGTACAGCCATAAAATGTAATTCTAACCTTTAATAAACTGAATTCTGGGTGATATTTACAGATTGTTTTTTATCATCTTGACAGCCTGAACTATTAACATTATTTCAATCAATAATAATAATAGCAACACATCTATAACAGAAAAGGTAACTAACACAGAAATAGTAATTTTTCAGAGGTTAGAAATACATGGGTAAGAACTTCATTAGAGAGAAATATCATAATAGTGAAAAGATAAAATGGGAGGCCCTGGCTAGGTAGTTCAGTAGATTAGGGGATCATCCCAATATACCAAGGTTGTGGGTTTGATCCCCAGTCAGGGCATACACAAGAATCTACCAGTGAATACATACATAAAGTGAAAGATGTTTCTTTCTTTCCTTTCCTTTTTTTTTCTTCCTTCCTTCCTTTCAAATCAATCAATGAAAAAAAAGACAAAATAAAATGAGAGAAGTCTAACTAAATAATCTCTAAGGATCCATCTAGTTTTTAAATTCCATGTTTTCTTTCCTTCAGATCTAAAAGAATATCTGCCAATATTTTTGGATTTTAAGTGTCCTTCTACCCTATTCATATCTATATTCATATAAGTCAATTTCAACCAAAACTTTAACTCACCATTTACTCTTAATACTGCTTGGAACTGGTATTCTTCAAATAGGATTTCATTCATTGATTCTTGAATTGAAGTGAAGTTAAAATATGGTTCTGTGATAATAATATTAGTATCTAAAAAATCAACCTATGAGAGAAAAAGTCCCAAAAGCTTTATACCTTTGTGGTTATAGTTATAAATACATGTTTTACATACATAAACAAACTTATTTTATCCTCACAATAATCCTAGGAGACAGGTCTTATTATACCCATTTAATAGGTGAACAAACTTAGGCACAAAAGAGTTGAACAAGTTACTAAGGTTCATGTACCTAGTTAGTTACACAGCTAGGATTTGAACACGGGAAATCTGATTATAGAATTCATACACTTTAACTATTATTTACTTTTAATTGTCTTAATGGTAACATTAATAAAAAGGTACTATCAAATGGTTTAAAAATAATTATGTAAAAGTAATCAATACCTACAAGCACTGGGGCTGTTGTTACTGTGCTTTCAAAAGTTAAAAGGCAAGAAGCTTGAGGATGTTTAATGTTTACATAATTCTCTCCCACACATTCTCAAGCAGAATTAAAATTTGAATATTCTCTGTGTATACTTACAGTCACACTACCAATATAAAAAGCACAAATTTCTCACATTGTAATATTCACACATTTAGATATGCAGGTAAAACTATTTTATTGTGAAAATAAAAATAAGATACTGAATTGGTTTAATAACAGTAGAAATCTGAAGTAAAATTTTAATCTTGAGTTGCATACAGATTATCTCTTCTTAACCTCAAATTCCACTTCAATATGGAAATTATATTCACTTGCACTTAATATTTAGAAAATCAAACCTAGGCATAGTATATCAAGTGACTTAAATATATATATTTGAAGCATATTCAAAAGTTCATAAATCTTAAAATATAAACTCTAATTTTTAATTTGCATAAGACATGGAAATAAATTTGAATACATACTCCAATTTGTTACCTGATACATTTCTTTTCCAAAAAGGTAGTCCCAAACTTGTCTTTGAACATCCCAATTCACCAAGTAACCCTAAAAAATTATTTTATAAATTTAATAACCAAAAATATTTTAACAAATTTTAAAAATCAGATTAATATACTTTAAATCACTGATTTCTATTTCTATTTCTTTATGGTTACCTTCACCAGTCTAATGCTGTTTTTCTCCTTCTACAAGTTTAAAAAACTGCAAATTAACAAAAACCAAAATGTGAAGGGTTCAAAAGACACCAATATATAGAGAGGATTCTCTATATTTATTTTCTTTAATGCGTTCATCTCATTTAGCTTTAACATAAAATAGTAAAATTCAGTACCCACACCCCATAATGACTCAATTATGGTCATTTATTTTTAAGATGACAATTTCATTTCAAGTTTTGGTTTACTAAGCTCTTTTAAAATTTAAATGACTTTTTTTCAGAGACCTAAATATATTTCTACGCATACAAAATCTTACATATAAATTTAAATATTACCTTTAAATTTAGGTCTATAATGCTAGAAATGACATGTAATTGAATTACCTTCTGAAAAGGAAGGATGTAGAAGAGTCCAGAAGGGTCCTTTATTTCATCTATCTGGTTAGCAGTAAACGTTTTAAGACGTGCTGTTTTTGACCTGAACTGACAGTTGGGAACAACCCTATAAACAAAGAATTAAATGATACAGTTATTTCCTAAATACTTACTATATATACATTTATTTCACCACCACCCTGGATGCCAAATAATATCCAAAGCCTCAGTTTCTCATTGTCTTCAAATAAAAAAAGTCTTTTTACGATTCTAATATGTACCAGGTTCTATCCCGGGTTCCTTTTCTTTCTCAAATAACCCTGAAGAAGTCTTTACAGGTGGTTATTGGTTCTGGCATCACATAGATGAATAGGGAGCCTAAAGTAAAATTCCGGGTCTTCCTGCCTTTAATTCGTTGATTCTCTGTAAAAGGTTTACAAGTTCAATATTCTAGCTATAAAATTAAGTTTCCATGAAGGCAAAAATTTTCAATCAGCAAGATGCTCCTAGGGTAAAGAAGTAGGAAGTAATTTTAAGAGTGATTGCTGCCCACCTTGAGTTTACAATCTATTTAGGAAGACAAAATAGAGCCATTATCAGTCATACACATGTGTACATTTCTCTCTGTGTTTAAACACAGGATTTTTAAAAGATGCATTGTAGTCAATCGTATGGTTGTATTACAATTTTAATCAACTTGATTATGTAGCATGATTCTTGATTATGTAGCACGACTCCTCTTTCTTTCCGCTCTCTCCCCACTCCCTCCCGCCCCCTCCCCCCTCCTTCCTTCCTTTCTGCTACAGTACACAATGTCTATAAATACTTAAGAGCATCCTGTGTTTACTTTTAGCAAGCATCTTAATTTATTCCTTAGATAGCTGATAACAGAATTGCTGTGTCAAAGGATAAAACCAGTAACACACATTGTTAAAGGCTCTTCATAAGGTTGTTACAATTTCCAGCCTAAGCAATTAAATTGTTCTCAAAGAAAACGGAAAGAGAAAAAACCCTCTGTGAATGTGATAGGAAAAAAGCGTGTCTTTAAATGAGCTCATTCTTTATGCAAACATATATGAATACTATGGTAGTATTTGTTTAATTGACTCAATTAACGAGGTCAACCAATGAGCACTTACAAGGACTTAGACACAAGCTTTCAAATGGGGGCGGCGTGGAGCCCTCTGAGCATTTGAAGAAAGCTATAATCGCGTTTACAGGAAAATGCATTTGCACACAAATGTTGCCAATGACTCCTGGGATTCATGAACTTTGTGTACAGTACCGCCCCTTATCCCCATTAGGAACCCCTTCTCTAGAAGCCTATTTTACCGATCAATTTCCGGTTACCAAACGAAACACAGGTCCCACTTCCGGGGCCTCACAGCCCAAAATTATCATCAAAATCCCAGTTCTAAACTTTCCAACCACCTAACTCCAACCAGAGCATCCCTCAGGCTCAAGTTAGGGCCGCGCGGGGTCATTAGTCTTCTACTGATGTTTCAAAGATGAAGCGTAGTACGAGAAACGACTAGGCGTGCATGCCTTGTCCCTCGGAGAAAACGAACACTTACGAGACATTTTCATGGCTGTAACCGATTTTGGCATTGTAGGCTCCGTTATCCAATACTAACGTCGTCATCTTAGGGGTCGGGGGGAAAATAAACGACGCCGTTTCTTTCTCTGGCCGGCCCTGGTAAGGTTGGGCCCCCCCAACCCCCACGGCAGTCTCCGGTTTGCGTGGGCGGGGCTTAAGGGCGCGCTTCCGGTTTCCCTTAGCAACGAGGACGCCGGAAGCCAAAAAACGGCTCCGCCGCCTTGCTCATCAGCGAGAGTCAGTGTGTGTGTGCTCAAGCCTAGCCCATTTACTTTTTGGCGAGATTCACGAGTGGAAGCGGCTACACGCTTTTTCGCCCAATGCGAATTTGTCCTTTACTTCACAGTTTGACTCGCTACTGCAACTTTCTTCTAACCTCTGTAGCGAACCAGGAGTGTGTCCGTGTGTGTGTTCGGATAGTGGTGTTCAAACAGTGGCAATAATGTATAATAAAGTGCCAAAACATACTCAGCATGGTACTGAATAGAAGATCTTTTCAGCCTCATTCCCTGCCATTGGCCATCTTACTACCCTGAATTACAAATATGTTGTTTCGTCAACCGTCTTGCTTTTTAACTCTCACTCACTCTCCTCGTCTGCTTGTTCTTAAGGACAGAGCTCTGTATCTTTCTTACCTAAAAAGTCTTCCCGGCATTGGACATGCGAGAGTACTTCTCGTTACCCTTCCTAAAATCAGGTGCTCCTCCTAAGTGTTCCTGTAATGTTCTTGGCTAAGTCTGTATATCATAATGGTTAAGAGAATGAACTTTGGATTGGATCTGGACTCTGCCACAAAATGGCTTGAGACAATGAAGATGATAATGACTAATACAAGGCACTTAATGTGCATAGGTAAACAGCCCTAAGAGCTTTACGTATGTGAACTAATTTAATCTTTATAATTTCTGAATGAAGTACTATTACTGAAATCAAAGGCATGGCTAAGAGTGCAGTCTCTGAATTCAAACGCCTAGCTCAAATTCCGGCTTTGACACCAGATGGCCAGGCAGGTTATTTAACCTCTGTACACCTTAATTTTCTCATCTGTATAATGGAATAATACTAACAGCACCCCCTTGCCGAATTGTTTATGAAGAGTAAATGATAAAAGTCAAGCACCTGGTAGTGGTCATCACCACCACCACCATCATCATCCTTTTTAACATATGATAATTCTCTGTTAACTTGCACACTTGGCAAACTCCTTGAAGTCAGGCACTCTGTTCCATTGGTGTTAGCATCCCTTTGTATCATAAAAGTCATTGAATGTCCAAAATTATATCAAATTTTAGTGATTTTATTTTACTTAATATTCAATTGATAAGATCCCTTACTACAAACATGTAAAGAATATTTTATAAACTTTATATCATAGAGCAGCCATCATCAATATCAGTCTCTTATCTTTTAAAATACATTATTTCATCCCTGGCTGGTGTGGTTCAGTGGATTGAACGAATGGCCAACCGTTCGATTCCCAGTCAGGGCACATGCCTGAGTCTTGGGCCAGGTCCCCAGCTGGGGGCGTGTGAGAGGCAATCGATCAACGTGTCCCTCACACATTGATGTTTCTCTCTCTTCCTCCCTCCCTTCCCCTCTCCCTATAAGTAAATAAATAAAATCTTTTAAAAAATTAAATAAAATACATTCTTTCAATCTTGTCTCTCCAGCCCTTTCACATTTAAGCTTCTCTTTTTGTTTTCCTTTACATGCTCCTTGATCAGGATCATTTTTGTTCTTGGCTTCAGCTATCATTAAATGCTGATAAATCCTAAAGCAGAATTTTGCCCCCAACTGTAACCTGAATGTTTCTACCCAGATACCCTGAGATAATCTCAAAGGCAACAAGACCAAAACTGAATCTTATCTCCAAAACTGCTTATTACATCCGCATTACTTATCTCAATTAGTGGTGTGCCTCAAGATCCACACAATGCTCCAAACTAGAAACCTCAGCTACCTTCAACTATAATTCTAGACTGAATCTCTGGAATCTGTCCTTGACCTTCTTTCATCTCTACTGATACTGTCCTATCTCTCACCTGAAATAATACCACTATATCCTCAGTGTCCTGTCTTCATTCTCTTCTGATCAGGATATATCCTTTGTGTTGCCAGCATAATTATCAGCAAGTATTTCCTAAAGCAGAAATCCGATCATTCTTCCCAAATTCACTCCCCACAGAAGTCTTTCGTGGCTTGACATTGCCTAGGAAATAGGCATTTGCAATCTCACCCCCCTTCAACTCATCTTACAGTATATACTGGTAACTGTTTAACACCCACATCTCCAGGAAATAAAGCCCTGATTTATAAGGCTTAACCACTGTCTGTGGAACAAATACTGTCAAAATAGATCATTTCAAGCTATCTTGAAGTCACCAAACACTGAAAACAGGGTCAGGAAGAGATGTACACAGTTGGTCTCACGAGCCAGTATAAGCCAGCTTCAGCACAGACTCTTCAGTAAGAGCTCTGACTTGATTTAATTTCACACTACACACTCCTCCCAGATTTTACACTTGATCTTAGCTAAAAGGCCAAGAAGCTGTCTTTCCTGCCAGGTTTTAGCACAAATAATCTCAAGCCTGTAAATTCTACTTTTCAGACATATACGTTGGCAATGTATAATTTTAAAAGTTAAAAACATGACTTTTATAAATATGTAATACACATGTGCAACATATTTATCTGTCATATTAATAAATGAATAGCTTTATACCCTATCTTGTTGATTCTGACATTAATATGAGTTAACAAATCTTTGATGTATATTCATTACATATTTGTGTGATAGTCATGTTTTTAACTTTTTGAAAATTTTATAATTAAATAGTAATTAACAAAAATATAAATTAATTAAAAATGCTAAATTTATGGTGGGTTTGTGACATTATGTGTTCTTTCAATCCAGGGAGAGTAAAATTAAAATTATCATTCATTTTCTCAAAAAAAGATGCTATAACTACAATTATTAACTTGTGGGGTTCATTAATACTTATTACTTTGAAAAGGAATCTACATTTTGTTCTAGCTAAAACAGTAGGTCACTTGCTATTTAGAAGCCATAAACTTTGACACTTCTGTTTTCATAATTATGTTTCATCTATCTGAAACATCCTTTCCTGCCTAGTGAATTAATACCATTCTATTGCATTTGGGATTCTCTAAGTACTTTAAAACTCACAACAACCTCATGAAGGTAAATAGCACCATGAGGCTCAGAGATTCTTTTCCTATGATTACATAGGAAAAAATCACATTCTTTCCTATGAGCACATACTTTTTCTATGATCACATACCTAAAAGTCTACAGGGCTAGGTTTCAAATGCAAGTCTTTGACTTCAGAGCCAGTTCTTTTTAACACATTAAGCTGACATTCTCATCTTTGAAATAATACTTCCACTGTAAACCTGTCTGACTTAACCAGATAGAAATTTAATCACTCCCTTGTGTTCTCATAGTACCTTGTTTCTGTTTGCAATTATGCTTATGTAACAGCATTATTAAGAGCTTGACATATGCTAGGCACCCACTTTATATGTATAATCTCATTTAATCCCCACAAAATTCTGAGTTGGATAGCACTACTCCAATAGTTATAAGTGGTAACTGAGGGTGAGAGAGATAAACAACTTGCACAAGTTTACACAGCTACAAAGTGGTTGAACCAGCATTTGAACCAGTCTAATGACAGAGTTCAAGGTCTTAGCATTAGCAATTTACCTTCCACACTAGGCTCTTAACTCTTTGATGGCAGGAACACATGTTTGTTTGTTTTTTTATCAAGGTATCCCTAGTTATTTGAATAATGCCTGGTTTATAGTTCATGATAAATGCTAAGTAAGTAAATGGTCAATACATATATATCTCCTTTCCCATCTTTGGAAAGGAACAGGTGTTGGGCTATGTGTATACTACCTACTCTCCCCCACACATACCCATACATCTTCTTCATACATCTCTCAGAGATAGTGTAATTTCTTTTCCTCTTTTAGAAATCACTGGGTGGTCATTTTCACCTCTGAAAATGTTGGTTTAGGGTTGGGTGGGGTGGAGGTTCAGCGCTGTAATAGTGCTCCCTGCTGTTTCAACAATTTCCTTCCTTTTTACAAAAATTTTCAAGTAAAATTTTACATCTTTATTTCTTTAGATAGCACAACCTAATGAAAGCTGATATTATTAACTCATTTTATTTTAACTCATTTTATAGATGATTAAACTGAGGCTAAAAATAAGGAAATCATTTTCTCCAGGTTAACACATCTAGAAAATACTAGAGCCAGGACTTGATTAGTCCATTTAATTCCCAAGTCCTGGGCTCTATTAGGGCATGTTGTCAACTTTTACTTCCCTTAGAATTGGAATCGCTAGATGAAACATTACAGGATTTAGCCAGGAAAGCAAGATATCGTAGCAAAGGAAATGAAAATGAGGCAAGAATATGAAGACAGCTGAGTATGTAAACAGAGCAAAGCAAGCAGAGAAGTTTGTGGAGCAAATTCTGAGGAAATGAAAAAGAGCAACAGGATGTGGTAGGAGACTCGGTGTTGGAGACAGGAAGAGCAATAGAGCTGGAGAGGGGAACTAAAGCCCAAGGAGGTTTTGGGATCGGGAGTCTAAGGACCCTATAGCGTCAGGGCAACTGAGGACACCGCCCCAGTCCGGGAAAGCGTGGCAGGGCAGCATGCCTTCTGCGCCTGCCTGGAACCTGCGTTGCCCCGCCCTTCCCGCGCTCGCCCCGCCCCTCCCGGGGCTGGCCCCGCCCCGAGCCCGTACCGCCCCCGCCCTCCCCCAGGTCTCTTAGGTGATGCTGCAGCCAAGATGGCGTTCGCGGCGGCTGCGGCGGCTTGAGGGAGATGCTCCCGGTCCTCCGCGACAGACGTGGTGGCTGTGGCCTCGGCCGGGGCCTCGGGTCCTTCCCGGGCGTGAGCGCTCAGGCGCCTCTCCCTCGGCCGGGTTAACCCGGACAAAGAGGAGACGGCCACGAAGAGAAGAGGCAGCGAGGAACCGAGAGAGAGCGCGGCGCCTCCCGCCCCGGCACCATGGCTGGGCTCATTAAAAAACAGATCCTGAAGCACCTCTCTAGGTCAGTGAGAACCTCGGACGTGGGGGTCAGTCTGCTTCCGCCTTGGCCGGCACCGGAGGCGGCCAGCATCCTCGGGGACGGCGAGGAGTGGCGGCCGTGCGGGAGGCGACCCTGGGATTCCCCGCGCCGGTCGGGGTCCCGGCTCTCCTGCCGCATGCGGCGCCCGGGGTTGGCCTCACGAGTGAGCCTCTGGACGGGTTCTCCGCTGGACGGGTTCTTTCCCGGGCCGGCTCGTGGAGCGCGGCCGGGGGAGGCGGCGGGCTAGGATCGCCCCCGCCACAGTGTCTGGCGACGACCCCGGGACACCTCTCGGGCAGCCCGGGCGGGGAGTGGAGACGGGCTGGCATCGCTCGGGTGCCTGGCTGGCGTGGTAGGATGAACGCGAGCTCGGTGCTCGCCTCCGCTTGGAGCGGAGACGTTCCGTTAACCGAGGGCGTCTAGCGCTGCGTGACCCTTGAGGCGGAGGCTGGTCTTCTCGGTGAAATGTGAACCTCGTTATTGTTCTGAATTCACCCCACCTCGCGATCCCCGCTCGGAGGCATTAGAGGGTGTGCCCGTTTGCACAGTTAGGATTTGTTTTAGGTAAATAAGCACTGTTCCAGCGTTTGCCAAGCTCTCTTCTGGAGTCATTTTAGCCCCACGTCATTCTTGCAAAACAGTTGTTTTGTTTTGTTTTGCTTTTTTCCCCCTTAACCCGAGACCCATAAATTCAGAGTCAACATCTGCGGTGATAAACCCAAGACGTCGTTCTTTCCATTTCCTAACGCGGTTTTATTCAGGAGCATGACTCAGTAAAGCTGGCAGTTTGTTGCTCCTGGCTTCCCCATATGTGTCTCAAGACACAGGCTAAATGTGGGATCTTGTTTCCAAGTTGTTAACAGCGAATCCAAAGTGCTTTGTTATGACCCTTTACACTGTTTTTTGTCTGTAAATTAATGATTACTTTTAACTCATTGTAGGAAAAGACTTGGGTATAATGATATACTTGTACAGTAATGACAATTACTGATTTTACAGATCATTGCAAAATCAATATTTCAGTGATTCAGCAAAGTTTCCTCATAACATTGAAAAAATATAGTTTTATAAAAGAAATTACAGCAGCATTTATGAATATACATTTCTTAATATTACCTCTAAATAAAAAGTATCTTAAAATTGTACATATGGTTCATGTGAATGACTTATTTTGGAAGAAGTTTTTATCTTTATTTTTCATTTATTATTTAAGTAAGGCCTGACTTATCAGATGTCCTTCAGTCTTTCTTATACTTAGGTCCACAAGAATATTCAGACCTACAGAAAATGATTTGAATGTTTATTTTCTCACTCTCCCAAGAATGATAGAACGTAGTTCCATTCCAGATGCAGGGAAGCAAAGTTAATCCAATCAGTGAGTGGCTTCGAGCATTAGAGTTTAATTCCCCTGTACAACAGTTGAGGACTCTTACAAATTAATACCCAAGGTAATGGCTTACCTCACAAAATAGAGAATACACATATATTCAGAATTTGTATTTCTAATATCTTGTGTTGTATATAGTAATGAGGATTTTTTTCAGAGACAAACTTTTGAAACACTTGAATTTTTATTTCATATTTCAAAACAACTCAAGTGACTGAGAATATCAAATTTATATTCTTGGTTAATCTTACTGCTATTGCTGTAATGTTTATGATGCTATTTATAAATCTAAAGGATGACGGTATATGGAACAAGGTGGTAAATAATAGTTATTCAAGTAGGGATGAACTTTTGAAATTACCTGGGTTAGGCTTAATTTTACAAATTATCTAGTAATGAAGATGTCACTGTATTGATGTAATCATCTGGAATACAATTTAATGAAGTTTAGCAGGAGCTACTTAACACACATTACTTCCTATAATAGACATTTCCAATGGCCAATGGATGCAACCGTAGCACCTTCTCCAAAGAGGTCTTCCTTACTTGACTGACCACACTTCTCTCTATACCATTCATCCTCATCTGTCTTGCTTAGGTTGTGGCTTCTCGATCAGGGAGACAGACTAAGAGACAACCCATGAATGCATAAATAAGTAGAACAATAAAATCAATGTCTCTCTCTCCCCTATTCCTCCTCTCTCCCTCTCCCCCTCTTCCTCCCTCCCTCCTTATCTCTCTTGCCCTCTTTCTCTTTATAAAATCAATTTAAAGAAAAAGTTTTTTATTAATCCTCACCCAAGGATATGTTTACTGATTTTGGGGGTGGAGGATACAGATAGAGACATTGATGTGAGGTAGAAACATTGATTGCTTACACACCCTCACTGTGCCCCGGACCAGAGATCAAACCTGCAGCCTTTTTTTGGTGTACCAGGACAACAAATGCTTCCACGAACTGGACCACCCAGCCTGGACAAAAATAAAAAACCCCCACAAAAACAAAAAAAAAACCCTTTTTAAAAAATTCTCACCTAAGGATATGTGTATTGTTGAGAGAGAGGGAAAAAGAAGCATCGATTTTGTTGTTCCACTTATTTATGCACTGACTAGTTGCGTCTTGTATGTGCCCCTGCTTGGGAACCACAACCTTGGCCTATCAGGATGACACCCAGCCAACTGAGCACCCAGCCAGGGCCGCCCAAAAAACCACATACACACAAAAAAAATCCCACAAATTTATTTTCTGAATGAACGGAAGAAAAGCACTAATCACCTGACTCTCCCTCACATTGCTTGCCTTCTTTTTTTTTTTTTTTAAACTTAGCTGAGACTGTATGCCACCAACATTATCGAAGTTTACCTGTGGTTTTGAGGAAGCAATGGGTAATTGAATCATTGAATAAATGTGGCGTTTATGGTATCCTGGCAAAGAAGGACTAGGGAAATGAAGCAACAGGAGAAAGAGAATGCTTACTCTGAGCCTTGAGATTGACGATTAAAACCAAAAACAGTGTTACCTGGGTATAGGTGTGCGAAAAACCGACTTTGAGTAAATGCTGAAGTATTTGAGCTGTTTAAATTGACACACTTGTTCCTTGCCTAATTGTTTAGTTTCTATCCCAAGCATGTCTTGTATTTTTAATAAAGTAAGTTTGTATACTTGGAGCTGATCTGAAACTAACAGACATGGGGAGGGTGGAGGAAGGAAGAGAGAGAGAACATTTGTGTATGTGGTGGGGTGGGGGTTGGAGTTGTTACATTTTAAGAGAAGTGAAACAGGATGTCTTTGAAAGAGAAATTACCTCCAAGTTTCATACTGTAATTGACACAAAGTATGCTTTGGAGTATTTCCTAGGAGTGTCTTTTTTTTCACAAGGGAATGAAAAATTATAACAAGTATCAGAAAGGAAATAAGAGCAGGGGCTACTTTTCAGCTCAAGTCCTTATGATCTTTTACTGTGTTTGTGAGTGTACATGTATGTGCATGCTTGAGCAAAGGCGAAGAGGTGGGATACAGAAGCCAGAAGATGGGGTATATTTAAGCCAGGACCTGAAAAGGGGTAGGGGAGATTCAGATGCAGATGCTCCCCTTTTCCCTCTGACTTGAAGGCATACTGTAATGGGCACAAGGTTTCCTGGGGGGTGGGAGTTGGCAGGACAGACATCCACCAAACCTGAGTGGAATCTTTGTCTGGTTTGAAGCAGTGACTCTCAGTCAGGGGTGATTTTGCTCCATAGGGAAATTTGGCACTGTCTGGAGACATTTCTGATTGTCATTACAGGGGGGTGGCTTAAGGGTACTAATGTCTAGTAGTTAGAGGCCAGGAAATGCTGCTAAACACCCTAAAATGCACAGCGCATTCCCCCACAATAAAGAAGTATTCGGTCCAAATGTCAATAGTTTTGAGGTTGAGAAACTGGTTTATAGTGTACACATGTGTGTCAGATGATTGAACTAGGGTTACTGTACTAATAAAGGTTATTGTGTCTATAAACAACAAAACCCTGCTCTGCTTAACTTAGGTAAAAAGGTAAGTGTGACCAATAGCTATTAGGGTGGGTCACAGAATAAGGGGAAGGGCAGGAGCTAGCCAGCTCCTGGAACCTGTTTGGAAGTGTTCTTGGATCTCAGCACTATTGACATTTCAACAAGATAATTCTTTGTTGTGAAAGGATGCTCTGTACACTGTAGAATGTTTAGTAACATCTCTGATCTCCACCGACTAGATGCTAATAGCACTCCCACAATCTTGACAATTAAAAATGTCCCCCATGTTACTAAATGTCCCCTGAGGGCAAAATTGTTCTTGGTTGAGAACCACTGCTTTAGGGTGCTAGCTTATCTCTCTCAACTCCCAGACTATGATCTTTCCTGTCAAGTTTCTGGTTCCTGGGAGAAAAAAATCTGGCCCAGTTCTGTCTGTCCATGGACCAATTAGCAATGGCAAAGGATAATAGGTACAGTAGAGATATGTTCATGAGGTGAACTAGTATTTTGAGTCAGGCTTGTTGTCTTTAATAGGCACTGAACTAAATTAGATGTCAGAGGCCGTTTGTTATGTTCAGCAAATTGAACATCCCGGTGGTGACTGCCAACAAAGAATTTAAGACAAAAGAAGGACATGATCAGCAAAGATGCCTGGTTATCAGTTTGGTTTTTTAAGTCCAGGGTTCAGGAGCAATTTCTTGGGGTGGAAATATAGAGTCTGCAGAGGGGCTCTGATTAATTTAAATAGAAACACAATGTATTGGAAGGATGTGGTATCCCACAGGATTCATGAGGTTAGAGAATCAGACTCGGAAAGGGACTGGATCCAGGCCAGCCTCAGGGATCTAGGTAGGAGAAACTGTGTGACAGTTTCAATAAGATATGTTCCCTATACTAAGGGGAGGGAACAAATAGGAAGTGTGTGTGTGTTGCGGGGGGGGGGGGGGGGGGGGGGGATTGGTAAGGACCTGAGAAGGTGAGAAAATATTTGGGATATTTTTTAAGGAGATTAGGAAGGGTTGAGCACTTGGCAGGATCTTGTGACTGAATGGCAAAGTAATGAGGGTTTTTATTGCCTCGCAATGTATTGATGGGATGGCTTAG